TAAAGAAAGTTGAGGTTTGAAAGTTTGTGTAAGCTAAGACAAGCCAGCATTTAAGAAAAAGACCTGCTATAATATATATGCACTTGTTTTCAGGAGGAGAAGTTGCCATGTAGAAAAAAGGCAGGTGCCTGGCTGGCATGGCTCAGTGATTGAGCATCAGCCTATGAACCAGGTCACAGTTTGATTTCTGGCCAGAGCATATGTCCAAGTTGCTGGCTTGATCCCCAGTATGAGTGTGCAGGAAGCAGCTGATCAATGATTCTCTCATCATTCGTGCTTCTATTTCTCTCTCCCTCTCTCTCCCTTCCTCTCTGAAATCATTATATATATATATATATATATATATATATATATATATATATATATATATATATGGAGGGGAGCTGGGGAAAGGATGGAATGAGTGATTTGAGGGGAGGAAAGTAAAATATTTAAGCCTAAAGGCATATAATAAGTCAAAGAAAATAAAAGGATTCATTACCATCTAAATAAACAACAGTTCAAATTAAACTCAATCTATAAAATAGCATTTTTGTTGGAAAGACTGGTTATAGTGCAAAAGTCTATAGATTTAAATTCAATCCTAGAGTGTTTATCTGAATATATACCTTCTAGCAGCTTTCAGATATAATTCTATTTCAAGCAGGGTTGCACCTGTGTTTAAAATATGGTGGAGTGGGGTGTGAAATTTGGCTACATGTTACACTTAAAAATTCACTAGGGTTGTCAGTTTATAATTCATGTTTACAGCTAACTACCTAGAGGAACAGTTTGAAGAGTTGGGTAACTTTTCCTTTATTTGAAATAGTGCATATTGATATATGTTTCAGGTTTTGTGTGAGCAGATCAATCCTCTAGTAGCCAGCACAAAAAACAAAGTCAAAACACAAAAAACACTTTTTCTTTTAATATTCATAAGAACTAAATCCAATGGTGAAGATTTATCTACAGTATGTGTGCTTAAAATTAAAAAATAAACATAATAAACTACATGCTCAATAATATTCTTGCTGTTGTAGAAGATCTAAAAGTTTCTAAGGCACACATTAATAATTTAATTTTTATTATTTAATTATAGTAGACATTCAATACTATAGTAGTTTCAGGTATACAGTGTAGTGGTTAAATATTTATACAACTGACAAAGTGATATTTCCAATAAGTCTAGTACCCACCAGGCACCATATATAGTTATTACAATATTGTTAACCATATTCTTTAGATCCTGTGAATATTCCTTACTGCAAATTTGTAGTTTTTAATACCTTCACCCCTCCAATCTGGCAACCAACAAACAAAACCAAACCCACATTTATCATTGTTAATACATGTTTTAAATGGTAGGTAGGACACGAAGGAAATTGCTTGGAATTATAAACCATAACAAATTTATTTATCCTCCGAAATATAAGGCTGATTTTAATGGGCGATGTGTGGAGGACAGAGATAAGTCCTGGATTCTGGGACACTTGGGGAGCAGATCAGAGACCTGTGCAAATTGCCTAAACTCCTTGAGTGAGACATCATTGCCAAATAAGGTAGAGATTAAATAGTCTGCTCTGCCGGAGAGTTGGGATAATTGACTCATTTTGTCACTGGCTCTGAGAAAAATGGTAATAAAAATCTCCCCTGATGTTTAGTAACCACAAGCTCCATCTCACTTGAGTTGGAACAGTGAATCATACTATGTATGTAGCCCAATAAACCCAGAGACTAAAATGTAGTTTAAAGTGATTTCAGATTTATGGTGTTCTCCTGTTGCCCAGAAGAGGAAAATGAACATACTCCTGTAGGGGACACATTTTAATTCTCAAAGAATTTCTATACATAAGGCACCAAGGAATATGAGCTCTTATTTTTTAAAGTGAGGGAACAAAACACCATGAGCACATGTTAGTAGGAATCATATATTCAAAAAGTATTAAACACATGCTTACAATATCCAAAGAAATAAAACAGCATTGAAATAATGATTAAGACTTCCTGATTGCCCCTAACCGCTTCTGCCTGCCAACCTGATCACTCCCTAACCTGACTGATGTCTAACTGCTCCCTTACCATCCTGTTTGCCCCCAACTTTCCTCCTCTACTGGCCTGGTCACCTCTAACTGCCCTCCCCTGCAGGGTTGATCGCCTCCAACTTCCCTTCCTTGCAGGTCTGGTCCCTCTCAACTGCCCTCCCTTGCAGGCCTGGTGCTTTCCAACTGCCCTCCCCTGCTGGCCATCTTATGGTGGCCATCTTGTGTCCACATAGGGGCAGGATCTTTGACCATATGGGGGCAGTTATTGTGTTGGAGTGATGGTCAATCTGCATATTAGTCTTTTATTAAATGTATAGAGGCCTGGTACACAGGTGCAGGCCAGCTGTTTTGCCTTGAAGGGTGTCCCAGATTAGGGTGGGGGTTCCTTTGGGGTGTGGAGTGGCCTGGGCTAACCATACCCCTTGGTGACCCAAGCAGAGGCCCTGGTATCTGGAATTTATTTACTTTCTACAATTGAAACTTTTAGCCTAGAGCAGAACCAAGCAGGTGGGTGTGGCTGGTGGGTGTAGCAGAGTGATGATTAATTTGCATATTATTTTATTAGGTAGGATATCTTTATTTATGAGCTAGCTCCTTTCCCACTAGAGTCAAAGATCCATAGGTCATGGGCTTGTCTTACCTTTTTCACTTCTGTATCCCAGACACTTTGAACAGTATCAGGTACATTGCAAGTGGAAAAACAAAACAAAACATTTTTTGAATGAAGTAATGATTGCTTAATTAAGAGAAGATTGCACTAAGTCTAGTGGATTCAAAGTAGTTGTAGAGATTTATAATAATCTTATTTTTGCAATTAGAAGTACTTAGTTTTAATCCCAATTGTGTTGCTTAATGTTTAATGTTTTAAATTTGTTCACATGATGGAAAGTGGTAGAATCAATTTACATATGTTGCTTTTAAGCTACTAATATTGATATGTTGAGATTTCTATTAAGAATCTAATATGTTGTATCATTAACTTTAAAATATATATTTGTTGAGTAAATAAGCTTTAAAGTGAGAAACATATATGATAAGAATTAAGCATATGGTGAGTATATGATCTATCAGTATTTTGAGAATTTTTGCTATATTGAGAACACTACGTTAAGCATTTAAACTTTGAGTAATTTTTTCTTGAGGTACAATAAGAAATTTTTTAAATGGATTATTTTTTTTTAAAGCAGTACTCTTGCATGTTTGCAGGATTTAAGTATGCACTGAAATTTACTAGTAATAGTCAAGAGGGTCTACTTTCTGCTGCAGTAACCAGTTAACCTTGAAAAATCCCTGAAAATGTGGTGAAACTCATTTATTTCTTGCTCATAAAGTGTCTTCTGAGAGTCAAGTCACCTTCTAGGATAGCTTTCTTCAAGGGTTTAGTTGGCTTTGTCTTCTGGTCAACTTATTAGTCCCCAATGGATATTGATTCCACTTATAGCCCAGTGGTCAGAAGTAGACATAAGGTTCACTATAACTACAAAAAGCTCAGGAAGGATAGTCTACTGAGTGCCCAGAAGGAAAGGCAATCAGATCGTGGCAATGCCTAGTAGTACATAACATGGATTACATGGCATAGACCTCAGAGGTCACAAGACTATCCATTCATTAATTCATTTATTGAACATTTACTAAAAACTTCACTGGTAAACCCATAGATGCCTAATCTTAAGTGATCTCTTGCAATCACTCATAGCAATGAGAGACATGTATATCATAAGACTGTCAACATATATATGCGTTTTAGGACTGTTATTATTTTTCACCAAAGTTATTTTTTACAACAGAAAAAAAAGGTTTAAATGGAAGTGCCCCTATATATGTGTTTATTTTTCTTTAACATAAAGGTATCTGAAACTAGGTAGCTATAGAGGATTTGATAATTCTGTAGTCATAAAAGATAAATATTTAAGCCATCAAGTCAAAATTTTAAACACCAGGAAAAAGGAAAGAAAAGGGGAGTGATAAAGAGATGTAACTTTGACCCCAGCCAGTTTGGCTCAGTGGATATAGCATCAGCCATGGACTGGGGAGGTCTCGGTTTGATTCTGGTTAAGGGCATGTAACTCCATTGCAGGTTCTATCCTATCAATTATTCTCTCTGTCTCTACCATTCCCTTCTAAAAATCAATGGAGAAAATATTCTTGGGTGAATATTAACAAACAAAAAGGAGAAGAGAGAGAGAGAGAGAGAGAGAGAGAGAGAGAGAGAGAGAGAGAGAGAGAGAGAGAGAGATTGATTGATTCAACTTTCAACTGAGAGCTTCTTCCAAAGAGCCTTCCAGTTTTCCTAATTTCACTTACATTTACACCACATTAACCAGAACATAGTCACACAACCAAAATAGATAAGGGAGCTTGAGAAATGGAGTGTTTTTGTCTGGGTACTTTGCTTCCCTGAATGAAATGATTTTTTTTGTTTGTTTGTTTGTTTTTGTTACTAGTAAAGAATGGGAGGATGAATATTGAGTTAAACAATTGAAAAGTATTTTTGCAGTTAAGAAAGATTCACTCTCTCTCTCACACATAGTTAAATATTTAATGACAAGTAGAGTAATTCAAGATTCCTTTGAGATTGTTCTTCATCTGTTTCTATACTAATACAACCTAACTGGGGCAACAGGAAGAACTGGGTTAGTTTCTTTTCTTTCTTCCTAGTACTTTTCTGTTCAAGTAGTAAATGTTTTTGGTAACTACTTCTGCTACTGACTTTGTCATTAAAGAGAACATTATTTATTGAATATGGACACCATAAAGCAATTGGTGTTTTAATTTAGTCAAATATAGTAATATAATAGTATCAGAGCTTTAACTTGTTAGCTGTCTATCATGGTCCAATATATATTTTCTTATATGATTAATTAATATTTCCCTCAAAAAAGGCATGCTTGGAAACTGGATTCAGCATGTGTACAACGCATAATAAAAAATTAATTTAACTTATTTTCATCTTTTCCACCTTTGTCTTTCTCTCCATAGGCTATATATTGACGGTCCATTTGGAAGTCCATTTGAAGAATCATTGAACTATGAGGTTAGCCTCTGCGTGGCTGGAGGCATTGGAGTAACTCCATTTGCGTCAATACTCAACACCTTGCTGTATGTCATTTTGCTCTATTTTATTCATCTAAATAAAGAACTGTCAATATTTTAAACATCTCTCTTTTAGTTTGAAATAACTCCTTACAGAATCCTTGTATTTGCTATTGAAGGAGCTTCATTTACTGATTGATGAAGGGAATAATTTAGTGATTCTCAGTATGTGGTCGTTGGCTTTCAGCCTGATGTCTTGTGAGATATGTCAGTACTACAGCTCTGCACTCTTCTGTCTTTATCCTTATTAAAATTACTCCACCAGCCTTCATTTCTCTACTGTCTCATCAGTGTTAAGTGCACTGCTTACCCATCTGTCAACAAATATTTTTTGAGCACTTATATGCCAATCTCTCTTATAGGTAGGTCCAAGTAATAAATACATCAGTGAATGAAATTGAGCCCCTTCCCTTAAAAAACTTAGTTCAAATGGGGGAGATAAAAATAAACCAGTGAGAAATTCATAAATAACATTACTTAAGAAAATATTAGAACTATGATGAGAAGAAATATTTGTGAGAAATAGGAATAAGGACCAAAGCTATCATAAACATGGTCAGGGAAAGATTTTCTGAGATGACAGAATGAGCCCATCATTCCTTGGTCTATTACTCAGTAAATTTAAAACAGGCAGAAGAACGCTAGCCAGTTTGGCTCAATGGGTAGAGCATCAGCTCAAGGACTGAAGGGTCCTGGGTTTGATTCCAGTCAAGAACTCATACCTTGATTGCAGGCTTGATCCCTAGCCCCAGTTGGGGCATGTGCGGGAAGCAACCAATTGATACGTCTCTCTCAAGTCCATGCTTCTCTCTCTCTGTTTTTCCTTCTCCCTTCCACTCTCTCTAAAAAAATCAATATCTTTGGATGAAGATTAACAAAATTAAATAAACAAATGAAGTAGACAAAAGACTAGAAAATTTAAGAGGCAGTCTGCTTAACCAGGAAAGACTTTTACAGTTATTTTTGTTCTAGGATTATAAGGGAAAAAAATAATTGATTAATAGTAATTCTCATGAACACACAAACAAAATGACAGTAGGAAAGTATTTTCAAATCTATTACATACATTCACTTACAACACACAATTTGCATTAAAAATCTGTTTTATGGAGTACCAAAAAAGAACCAGTAAGTTGAAAGGATATGTTTGAATGATGTTTTATTTCAATTTTAAATTCTTGATAGAAATTTGGGACTTTTTAAAGGTTCTTAGAAAAATAACCATATTGCATGCCAGAAATCATTTGTTTCTGTATAAACATATTGCAAGTTACTTGGACACCTAAAGTTAAGAAAAGAAAAGAATATTTTCTTAACCTCAAGCCTACTTCCTAATTATAAATAGAAATCCAGACTTGGAATCATGAGTTACTGGAATGCATTACATAGTAGATAGTTATGAAATCTCCTTCTTTAATGATATTAAGAAGGGGATAAACAACCAATTTCTGGAATGATGTTGGCTCCCTTTTGCCTGGAAGCCAGGGCAAGAATGATGAGGACTAGACTGGAGCCCTGCCCTGTGATAGAATTCACTGAAAATAAGGAACTTCCCCCCTCCCGCTCCGAGATATAGGGCTAAGAGTATTGTGATCCAAGACTTTAGTTTATTACCTTCAACTGGAAATGGGTGTTATGCATATAATATTCACAAATATGGACACTGAATTTATGGGGCATATCCTGACTCAGAATGTTCATTTTGCATTCCTTTGAGAGTTACAATAAGTGCTATGTCTGATGCTTGAGTGTAAATGGCTGTTTTTTTCTGTTGGTTACTTACTAGTGAAAATAAAAACTTCCAAGATGCAGGGATCCTTAACTTTTTTGCCATCCTAATCATTATTGTGCTATTTTGTCTTAAAGGGATGACTGGAAACCTTACAAGCTTAGAAGACTGTATTTTATTTGGGTGTGCAGAGACATCCAGTCCTTCCGTTGGTTTGCAGACTTACTCTGTGTGTTACATGATAAGGTAAAATTAGGTTTGTTTCCAATTTTGCAATGTTTACATTTAAAAACATAGTTATTATGTTTCAGATTGCTAACATACTAAATGATTGGTATGGAAAAATTAAAATAAATATGCAAATAAGCAGTAATAAAGAAAAATCCTTTCAATTAAAAAAAACAACACAGCCAAAACCGGTTTGGCTCAGTGGTAGAGCATCGGTCTGCGGACTGAAAGGTCCCAGGTTCGATTCCGGTCAAGGGCATGTTCATTGGTTGCGGGCACATCTCAGGGGGTGTGTAGGAGGCAGCTGGTCGATGTTTCTCTCTCATCGACATTTCTAGCTCTCTATCCCTCTCTCCTCCTCTCTGTAAAAAAATCAATAAAGTATATTTAAAAAACAACAAAAAAAACAACACAGAGATAACATTTGTTACTTGACACACATAATTTTAGATGCTGATATCTATGATTATGTATATGTATCTATGATATGTTTTAACCTAGAAATGATTATTGATAAGTTCTAACATGAAATATTTTAACATAGAAATGCATGTATGCACTATTAATGTGGTAATATGTGTGTGATGTATGCAAATGCATGCATATGGGGTGGTGAGGAAATAGAGGAAAACATCAGCAGGCCATTGCTAGTCCATTTCCCATCTTTTGTTCTAATAGCTCTTAACTTTTATCTTCACCTTCATTATTCTAAATGGACTATCACCAGACTTTTGGCACATTATGCAGAATTTCCAAAATCCCAAATTCTAAGTTTTAGTTCTCGTAAGTATGAAAGCAGGCATTCTTCATCTCTCCTACATCTGACCTTTTATTTATCTGTTAATACAGCTATCTTTATTTTTACAAGCTGTACAAGTAATACACTTTTTTTTTTTGCATCTTTGGTGCAGTTTTTCCAAATAATTCAGATAAAGCAAAATCTTTCCTTACTACTTTCTCTAACCAAGAGAAAGTAACAAGAGGGAAGTCCTATTTTATAAATTTTAGCATACTTTGTATTGCTCTGGAAGTTGCTTTCTTATACTTATGACTATGTCTTGGACATTTTTAATAATATAGAGTTATCTCATTCTTTTTACTGCTATGGAGTATTTCATAGTATGAATGAAATACTAATTTATTTAATCATTCCCTAAGAATGAGTATTTATAATTTTATTATAAAAAACATGATGATGAATACTATACATGCCATTTTGTGCAGATATTCACTCAATAAGTCATTCTGTCACTCATCAAATACTAACTGCCTACTATGAAGTAGAAACTGTTCTGGGACATGGAGCTACATCTGAGATCAAAATAAAAACAAGTTTCTGATCTCATGTGATTTACATTCTGAGTGGAGAGAAAAGACAATAAACCAATAAAGAAATGGGATGGCTGATTCTGATTAGGGAAAAGAAAAAAGAAAGTGGGGTAAAGCAACAAAGAGTAAATAATAGAGGACATATTAATGTATACTGAGTATTCGGAAATGCCCAGCAACATTGGTATTTGAGCAGAGACCTGAATAAAGTGAATGAACAAACAGATATCTTGGGTGAAAAATTTTAGGGCCGAGGGACCCAACTTCACAGGCAAGCACTCTGATGCAATAGGATTAGACTGGAGCAAGATGAAAGTGAGCTTTGTGGCCAGAGCAGAGTAAGCAAGAGGAAAATTAGTAGGAACAGCAATCAGAGAGGTCTTGTGTGTTTTCTGAGAAAAGGACAGATTACATAAGGCCTTTGGATTTTATGTAAAAAAAAAAAAAAAAAAAAAAAAAAAGATGCATTCTGGAAATATAACCATAATAATTGAAATCAGTGACTTGAACAGATATTTGTATACCAATGGTCATAGCAGCATTTTTCACAATTTCCAAAGATGGAAACAACTCAAATGTCTATTGATGGATGAATGGGTAAAAAACACTGCATATACATAAAATGGAATAGTATTCAGCCTGAAAAGAATAGAATTCTGAGACATTTTACAATATGTATGAATCTTGAAAGCATTATGCTAATTTAGTTAATCTAGACACAAAAGGACAAATATTATCTGATTCCACTTATATGATGTACCTAGAGTAGTCAATTTTCTAGAATGCTGGTCACCAGGGCATGAGAGGGAGGGCAAATGGGGATTTATTGGTTAATGGATACAGAGTTTTAGTTTGAGAAGAAAAGTTCTGGATATGGATGGTAGTGATGGTAGCCCATCAGTATGAATGTATTTAATGCCACTGAACAGCATACTTAAAAATGGTTACAATGGTAAGTTTATAATGTTTTACCACAACTTTTAAAAAAAGGACACATTTTGGGTGCACAATAGGGACCTGCTGAATCAGGATTGGGAATAGGAGAGATGAATAGTCATTGCAAGGTTATGAACGAGATTTATCTGACTGCTGATCATCTTGGGAATGTGTGTGAAAATAGCATACCCTGGGATACTGCAGTTTCCAGAGATGCAAAAGGTGTGTAATGGCTAACAAAGGAAACTGGTCCCAGTGGCCAGTGAGGTTGTAGCAAGAGAGAAAGTGAGTTCTGTCTTTGAGGCTAAGGAGGAAACAATTATCGAGAGGAGCAAACTCATTACTTTCCAATTTGTGAGTATTTTTTCTGGGTTGATGCCAGAAACAGGACTTTCTGGAGTTGGAGGCTGTGAATGAATTAAAATTTTTAAGTTATACTGGCAAAACTCCCCAAAAGATTCTAAAACAATTTATATTTGGATGAGGTTAAAAAGAAAAGATTTTCTGTTTTCAGCTGGTAACAGTTTCATGCATGTGTGCGTATCTGAGAGAGAGAAAAAGAGAGATAGAGAGAGAGAGAGACACCAATAGCAATACTATATAGTGATTTTACATACAGTTTCAGTGAGAGTAGGTAAAAGTATTTTTGAAAACCAAATGAGACTATATAGTCTTCTGGCACCATATGTAACTATTACAATATTATTGACTACATTCCCTATGCTGCACTTTACATCCCATGACTATTTTGTTATTACCAATTTCTACTTCATTTTAAAAAATGATTTTCTTGATTTGAGAGAGGAAGGAAGAGGGACAGAAAGATAGAAACATTAATAAGAGAAAACCAATGATTAGCCGAGACCTGTTTGGCTCAATGGATAGAGCATCGGTCTGCGGACTGAAAGGTCCCGGGATCGATTCCGGTCAAGGGCATGTACATTGGTTGCGGGCACATCCCTGGTAGGGGGTGTGCAGGAGGCAGCTGGTCGATGATTCTCTCTCATCGGTGTTTCTAGCTCTATATTTCTCCTCTCCCTACCTATCTGTGAAAAATCAATAAAATATATATTTTTAAAAAACAAAAAACAAACAAAAAAAACCCCAATGATTGACTGCCTCTTGCACATCCCCTACTGGGAATCAAGCCCATAACCCAGACATGTGGCCTAACTGGGAATTAAACCATGACCTCCTGGTTCATGGGTCAATGCTCAACCACTGAGCAACACTGGCCAGGCTAATTTGTACTTTTTTTTTTTCTTCAAATTTTCCTTTTTCTTTTTTTAATGTGTTTTATTCATTTTAAATAAAATATGATCCATTTCCCTTCCTCTCAAGGGAGAGGGATCAAGAGTTAGAAACATCGATGAAAGAGAAACATAGATCAGCTGCCTCCTGTACACTCCCTACATGCCCTTGTTAGTAATCAAGCCTAGGACACTTCAGTCTGCAGGCCGACACTTTATCCACTGAGCCAAACCAGTCAGGACTAATCTGTACTCAATCCCTTCAATTTTTCCACCCAACTCCCTTTCCTCTGGCAGCCATCAGTTTCTTCCCTGTTCCTATGCATCTGTTTAGTTTTGTTTGTTCATTTTTGTTCTTTAGATTCTACATATAAGTGAAATGGAATGATATTTATCTTTCTCTGACTTATTTCACTTACCATAATATCCTCTATGTCTGTATATGTTGTCAAAAATGGTAAGCTTTCATTCTTTTTATGGCTGAGTAATTTTTCATTGCCTATATATACTACATTTTCTTTATCCAGTTTTCTATTAATGGGCACTTAGGCTATTTCTATATCTTGGCTATTGTAAATAATGCTGACATGAACATGGGGATGTATATATCATTTTTAAATTAGTATCTAACCACCTGAGACTAATATAAAATAATATTCAAAGCCAACTATAATTGAAAAGTAAAAAAAATCATATTTTATTCTAACCCACACTTTCTGAGTTAAATTTTTAATCCAAATACTTTTAAGATATATTGGATGGTCTGCATCCTGGTAGGCATTTAAGATAAGAATTAGCACAAAAAAATATATTTTGTGAGATGCTACCATTACTGGACTTGGAAAGCACTCAATTTCTTCTCAGTTAAAATCCATGAATCCTGACTCAATTCAGAAAGGGCCTTAAAATGAACTTAGCATTTGGATATAATTTGAGTCAGCTATTGGATGGGATATTACTATGACTATTTTTTTAAAAGTATTATGGTGGTCTAGTTTCATTTTTTTGCACGTATCTGTTCAATTTTCCCAACACCATTTATTGAAGGGGTTATCTTGACTCCATTGTATGTTTTTGTCTCCTTTGTCAAATATTAGGAGGCAGCCAATCAATGATTCTCTATCATCACTGATGTTTCTATCTTTCTCTCCTTTCCTTTCCTCTCTGAAATAAATAAAAATATATTTATAAATAAATAAATGCAAAGAAAAAAGAATTATGGGTGCTGATAAACATCACTTTTAAGGTAAAATATGTTTTTATTAGGATTTTATAATTCAGTGTTGCTGCTTGTGAAATAATGTCCTTCAACCATATCATTGTCCGGATGATGAAGTTCTGAAACCTAGAAAAGTTAAGTAATTTGCTAGAAAGCTCTGGACCAGGTAGTCATGGCAATAGAAGTCTCAGTTACTTCCCACATGCCCTTAATAATTTAAAGGGTTCCAGAGGGGTGATGAAGCCCTACGTAATCATTCCCTATCAGCAAAATGACTTATTTTGCATTTCTAAAACATCTACTTTGAGTCCCAATATGTAAGTTTGTTTTACTTTCACACTACCCAAGGGTGGGCAAAAGTGGGTCTACAGTTGTGAGTATGTAAAATACAAGTTAATAGAGGTATTGTAATAATCAAAACCTTCATAATTTTAATGTCTCCTTACTTTTATGTCCTCTCAGCTTTGGCAAGAGAACAGACCTGACTATGTCAACATCCAGCTGCACCTCAGTCAAACAGATGGGATGCAGGTATGTAGCTGGATGTTACTGTAAATGAAATGAGTCTCTTGGTATTAGGAGGTTTACTGCAGGGCTATGCAGGGGGAACATTTCTGCAGGTGGCTTGAAGAGGTTTCCCACAGGAAGACCTCTTGGAATGTGTCCAAAAATCTCATGGCTTGTCCATAAAGTTAACCCTATAAGATGTCCCCCCAAATGTGGGGAATAATTATAAAGGCAGCATTTACTAAAATACATATCATTCTCAAAATTGAGCTACCAGCTACTAGCTTTTTTTTGGGGGGGGGGGGATACCCTATATTATGCTATTTTTGTTTTGTTTGTTTTGGAGGGAATTTTTTGTTCATCTCACAGGGAGATAGAGCAGACCTTTCAAGTATTTCACCTCTTTCCTCTTCACTGTTGCCTCAAGTTCTTTACCTATAGAGGCCAGACCAGCACCAAGCAGTCTTGTGACCCTATTCATCATGAAGAGGTTTTATGGGGGAAAAATAAGGTTATACATCAAAAAGTTTTATTTCCCTTCAAGGGAAATGAAAAGAGAATAGCAATAGCTATCACATTATTTATTCACTGTGTAAGGCACTGTGCTAAACAATCATATACACAATCATAGAATTCAAGAGGTAGAATTCAAGCAGATTCAAGAGGTAGTAGATATTGCTGTCCTATATTATAGATGAAGAAATTAATGTTTACAGACACCATGAAGAGCTGCACCATTGTGTAAATCATCATACATTTTCTGTAGTATTTTGAATACAAATTATGAATGCTTGTCAGTTACTTCAAAACTAATCTAACCCTATATTTTCTTGTCAGAGTTCTTCCCTACTTGGTATGTAAAAATATTTTATTTTACTACTCTCATGAAGCAAGTCGGTACCATTATCTTCATGGTGTTGCTTTAATGAAGGTATAGAGTATACATTGCATTAGTTCTCAGTTTGTCTGCCTGGGTCTCAGACACTTGTTCCTCCCTTTTCACTTGACTCTGATTCTTCAGATCTCATATTCTGTTCATTGCAAAAACCAGTTCACTTGAGTTATTTGTTGTTAATAGACCTGATATTTGGAGCTCTTCTGTCTTAGGTTGTCTTGTCTAAGATTATTTTCCCAAATTTATGATTACAGTTTGTAGTATTTTACCCATCTAATGTGCCAAATATGACAACTGTATTTGTAGTGCAAAAACAATTCAATAGAATTTATGTGCTGAGGCCCTTTATGAAAGTAGGCAATTGGAATGCATTCTTCAACATTTCAGTTATTTAAAAAAGAAGCAACTCAGCCATTTGTAATAATGGCATTCAAGAAGAGAATGGATTTTAAAGGAAAGCAGGAAGGAAATTACGTTCTAACTTATTGTACTCCATAGGTTGCCATTTGCTACTTATATTCTTTATATCACAGCAATTTGGTAGGAAGCCATAGCACCAGCAGAAATGAGGTTGGAGAAATGGGCAATTTGCCAACTCTGTGTCATATAAAATGTAATGTTTTTTTGTGGCAGAAAATAATTGGAGAAAAATATCAAGCACTGAATTCAAGACTTTATATTGGACGTCCTCAGTGGAAACTTCTGTTTGATGAAATAGCAAAATGTAACAGAGGGTAAGTGCAATTACTCAGCAAATGTGACATGTGGCTAATGATCAAATTAAAATATTTCCAAGTCATTACATGGAGTTTTTAAGATGACTTAGTAATGGGTTTAACAAATTAGAAAGCTACTTAAACACTCAATTATCACTATCAAAAGAGGAAGCAAGGCAGGGAACACCTCACTAAAGCATAATGTCAAATAATTAAAATTTGGCTTAGAAATAGTGTATAAATTATTTATGAACCAGACTCTTCTACCTATTTTAAATTTACATAGACCCATATTAAAATGAGTGTTCATTCCCACAGCATATCTCAGGTGATCATGGGAAAGTTCTTCTAGATCATGTTGGCAAACAAGGGAGCTCTACAAATATTCTAACAATGCATGTGCTTAAAATTCAATTTTTGTACCTTTTTACCAGAATGAATACATTATTTGAAGTTCTTAGTTTTTTATTTGCAATCTCTAAGTCAGGAATATTTCTAAACAAAAATATTTTTCTTGGGAGCTATAATTGTAAAGAATTATAAGACTATTGATGATTGGAAGAGATTGCTACTGAAGGAAGGACTTCTCTTTAGGGCATAAAGTAGACAACCTATTTGTTTTCTAATCTAAAAGCATTTTGAAAACTATATACCTATTCACACATTTTAAAGTTGGCATTGAAATAGTTTCATTATAAGGTTAAGTAGTTGCTAAGGCTGTATTTCTAACATATTTCAGATGTTGGCATTTTAATATTAATGTAACTATTTTAAACATATCATAGTTTCCGGATACCAATTTCATATATTATAAATATACATATAAGCTTTCATTAAGTTGAAAATTACACACAATTCTTTTCTGCTTGAACTTGTATTTCAATTCTGATTAAGCTGCAAAATTTCATCAAAATTCAATATATTTTTATATTTGAACTAATTATTTTGTTTGTTGCTAACTAAACATATTTCTGAAATAAGAATGTGTGTAAATTGATTATTTAATGCTTAACATTTTCAATGACTAAGATTCTAGTGTTAATTATTTTATCATTATAATTATTAGTATATAGTTGATTAATTCATAATTTAAAAAATATTTTTAAATATAAAAAGAATATTTGATTATAAATGAATGAGACAGTTTATGAGATGAAGATTTTTTGGGGGAGGGGATTTTTTTTTTTTTTTTTTTTTAGTGATTTCAGAGAGAGGAAGTGATATGGAAAGAGAGAGCAAGAAGCATCAATGATGAGAGTGATCATTGATCAGCTGCCTCCTGTACGACCCCCATTGGAGATCAATCCACAATCTGACTATGTGCCCTGACTGGGAATTGAACTGTGACCTCCTGTTTCTTAGGTCAACACTAATCACTGAGCCATACTGGCCAGGTGGAGAAACTTTCAATAAAATCCCAATTCATGAATTCATGATATATTGAAAGAGTCACTGATTCATCATGATGTTTGACTCCATCTTTAGAGATTTTGTTTTAGCAATTATGGTGTGGAACCCCAGAAGCAAAATTTAAAAAGGAATACACACATAATAATCTTGCCACTAATTTATTATATATTAGCCTATATAATAAAAGGCTAATATACATATTGTCCCTTCAACCAGCAGTTTGACCAGCAGGCAGGCCTGCCAACCATCTATGTCCCTTCCCCCTGGCCAGGCTGACCGGACCCCACCCATGTACAAATTCATGCATTGGGCCTCTAATATGCGTATTAGAGGGATGTCTGACTGCTGGCAGTTAGGGGGCAGCCATGTCAGCAGGGGAGAAGTTAAGGAGTTGCCCAAGCCAGTATATATACTGACTAGTCAGATTATTATGCATTCAGAGATCATCATAATCTGACCACTCAGTGTATACTCATTTACCTCAGATTTTATCCATGTTTGAAACCACTTCTGTAGTCCCTCCCCTTGAAGAAGTAGTTTGGGGTTGAAGAGGGAATATTATGTAGAAAGCATAGATCCTTTGTAATATGGAAGACCCCAGTTAAAGGTGACCTATCGAATAAAATAAAAGTCAACCCTGTTTGGGTTATATTCCTTTTCATCTTTCCCCAGAATCATCCACCTGTGTGTGATCATCTTGTCAGACTGACCTGGGTCTTGCTATGCACCATAGAGGACTTATTCTTCTTTGGTGACATTTAACTGGACTCTGAAAAGCATTCTTTTATTAGTTTTCATAATATAATGTTGAAAACGTTGATTTTTGTTGTTGTTTGTTTTTACTTCATTCTGAAACCAAACCCCAAAAGAATAGAGGATCATTTACAGAGAATTAGTCTTGGTTTATTGGTTTCTTTAGTTATTTCTTAAGAATTTGCATTTGTTATGCTGTTCATGATTTAGAGGAATTTTGTGTGTGTTTTTTCATTTTCTTTAAACAGCAAGCTTGTTCAAGTTGGTTTTAGATGAGCAAATGTGCAGCACCTACTGTTCACATTCTGTACAACTTTCACTTTCTGTATTTGCTCTGGGTAAGCAGTTGAAATGCATTAATTTTTAAAAAAATATCTTTATTGATTTTTATAGAGAGAAAGAAGGGGAGAGGAAGGGAGAGAATGCAAGAAAATAGCATCTATCAGTTGCCTTTAGCATGCCCCCCACAGGGGATCAAGCCTGTAACCTAGGCATGTGCGCTGACTGGAATTGAACCAGCAACCTTTTAGTGCACAGGATGACACTAACTAAGCCACTAACCGGCCAGGACAACACATTATATTTGTAAGGGATTTTTATGTAGCATAGCCTGGAAAAGAATGAATCAATATCTTAAGGGTTCATTAACTAGAAAATGTACTATTTAAATGGAAGGGTTCATTTTAGTAATGTAATTTTGATTAACCTTGTGTACATAAATTGCATAAAGAATATATAGAGATAGGAATAAAGAAGAAAGACATAAATAAGTTTAATACTGTATGCTGGGCTACAATTTAATTTTCAGAATATTAAACCAGTAGGTATTAATGTAATAAACTCTATAGAATACAAATTTAAATTGATTAAGCAATTCTTGGCATACACACACACACACACACACACACACACATGCACCACATACACTTAGATATATACACACTTATAAAAGTATGCATACTTTTATAAAATAAAAGTCATATAATATATAAAATATATAAAATATATTATATAGGCTAGTCGGTTTGGCTTAGTGTATAGTGTTGGCCTATGGACTGAAGGGTCCCAGGTTTGATTCCAGTCAAGGGCACATGCTTGGGTTGCGGGCTTGGTTTCCTATAGATGACATACAGGAGGCAGCCAACCAATGGTTCCCTGCCATCATTGATGCTTCTATCTCTTTTTTCCTCTCCTTTCCTCTCTGAAATCAATAAAAACATATTTTTAAAAAGTATCTGAGGGTTAGGGGGAGAAATCAACAAAAGGGCTTGTATACATCCATATAAGCCTAACCAATGGACACAGACAAAAACAGGGGGGTGAGGGCATGAGTGGGGGCTAATCGGGGAATAAGAACATATCTGTAGTACCTTAATCAATAAAGAAATTTTTAAAAGTATGTATTTACATATAAATGCATATATATACATATATAATATATATAAGTACACGAGTATATGTGTGTGTGTATATATATGAATGCATATACATTTAAAATATATTGAAAATATAAACTTTAATTTGAATGATAATTGGATTAATCTGTCTATACTAATAAAAGTGTAATATGCTAATTAGACTGGGGAGACCAGACATCTTCCAGATGTCCAGCTTCCTTCTGGACAAAGCCATGGTGGTGGGGACCAAGGCAGAGGCAGTTAGAGGCAATCAGGCCGACAGGAAGCAGTTAGAATGGGACCAGGCCTGGAGGAGGGCAGTTAGGGGGTGACCAGACCAGCAAGCAGAGGTGGTTAACCAGCAGGGAACCAGTTAGGGGATGATAAAGCCAGCAAGCAGAGACAGTTAGGAGCAATCAAGCAGGCCAGAAGGGGAAAAGTTAGGGGGCGACCAGGCTGGCAGGGGCCAGTTAGGGGGCAGCCAGGTGAGCAGGCGAGCAGTTAAGGTGTAGACAGGCCAGCAAGGCAGTTAGGGGGCAACCAGGTTGGCAGGGGGCCAGTTAGGGGGCCACTAGGCCAGCAAGCAGAGGCAGTTAGGGACAATCAGGCAGGCAGGTAGAATGGTTGGGGGTGATCAGGCAGGCAGGCAAGCGGTTAAGAGCCAGTGGTCCCAGATTATGAGAGGGATGTCTCAAATTGGAGAAGGTGCAGGCTGGGCTGAGGGACCCCCCAAGGTGCATGAATTTCATGCACTGGGCCTCTAGTAATATATATATATATATATATATATATATATATATATATATATATATATCTTCAACTTAGTCTTTTTCAGATACACCATATATTGTTCATGAAATTTTCATGGCATTACACCTCAACAGAATTCTAGAATATGGATGATATGAGCATTACTATCCTGTATGGATATTTAGGTTGCTTCCTATCTTTTAATGTGAGAGTAATTATCTTTGTACATACATTCTTGTGCCCATGTGAGAGTATTGCAATAGGATAGGATCCTTAAAATGGAATTGCTGGATCAAAGGGTGTGCACATTTCAATACTGTCCTACCAAAACGCAAAAGCCAAATCAATTTATATTTAATTTATTTTGCACTTGAGTATGAGAGTGGTTTGTTCCTTGCATGACTTTTTAAATTTAGAAAATGAATATGACAGTATTATATAATTAAGGAAGGTGAAGGAACTTTTGAAGTCACCTTGCCTTCATCATTATTTTACAAATAAAACTAGGATCCTAAAATATGATTAGTTTAAAGCTATGGTTACTGAGTCAGAATTCAGACATGAACCCATCTCACAGGTCGCATTTTCATTGTGCTGATAATTTCTTCTGTTGTGTAGTAGTTTTGTTAATTTGATGTAGTCCTACTTGTTTTTTGTTTTGTTTTGTTTTGTTTTTTTGCTTCTGTTGTTTGTATTTTTGGTGTCACA